AAAATCCTCTTCAAAATAGGTGAGCTGTTCAGATGTAAAAGGGGTGAAGACTGGATTATAGGGTCGGTTTTTGATAAATGTTGCTACAGTTGAATGGACAGTGAGACCAGCTTTGAGCTTATAAGCTCAGGTTGTCCTTCAGTGTCTCTTGTACATGGTGTGATGTGTTGTGTGCGAAGTCACGCCTGGCCGGCTGTTATCTACCGCAGACTCGCAGGTCCCTGAAGGGACACCAGAGGAGTCATCTGAGTCACTTGCAGTTTCTTCTGCGGTAGCAAATTAAAACTGGTCCAACACAGAAGGATGCAGATAGGAAGGAATGTCGTTAATGTATTTCCCCTTAATTAAATCTGCTCTTTTTCTGCCTAATCCCCACCAAACAGATACTAAATGAACAAAAAAGCAATTTGACTTATTCCTCTGCCTTAAGTTGCAGCAGCTGCCTCTAACAGCAGAAACTCTCTCGCTCTTTGTGGTGCTTCTGTTTATTAAACACAGACGATTGGCGACGATTTGATTTGGCGTTCATCAGCTCTGATAATGATGATGAATCTTGCTTCCATCTGCACGTTGTGCACAAATGTGCGTGTAAAGTGTCCCTACCTCAGTTGTTCAGCACTGCGGTTGCTGCTGCTTTTCATTGCCACTGTGCTGTAACATCAGAGCTCTCTAAATATTGATTAGAACTAATTTCCTCAGAGTAGCAGATAAGCAAGATTTAGTGTGTTGCGGTACTTCAAATGATTCCTGTATGAAATCCGGTGAATTTTTTTTTTCCATATAGAGTTTTCAGGCATGATTAAAACCACTTGTTTAAAAAAAAAACTTTATAAAAACTTCTTCTATTCAGTTTTCAATTCTGTTTGTTAGACATGAACTAGTCGCTGGTCACATTAATCAGGATCTTCTGATGACTTTTACTCAAGTAACATTTCAGTCAGTGACTTGGACTTTTACCAAAGTCATATTTTGGACAGGTACTTATACTTTTACTTGACTCCGAGATTTCAGTACTTTATACAACACTAGTTTTAACTAATCTGATTTAATTTTTTACTTTAAAGTGCCTTAAAATTCGTTGTGAATTGGTGCTATATAAATAAACTAGACTTACCAATCGGCAGTGCTTGAAATTTGGTAGCCGATCGCCAATCGCATTAATCAGTCAAAAAATCTATAAATTCTTCAACTTCGGTATCATGTACATTGACTTTGTATTATTAGGTAACAAAAGGTGATAATAAAGTATTAATGAATTGAACATGACCGGCTAGTCATTATGAAGACCACCGATTTTAAGAGGTAGTTGTTGCCTTGTTTGTTTTGTTTTTGCCCCGGAAAATGAACGCTCAACGCAGGAAGAGGCTATGGGTTGTCCTGCAGCTTTTGCATTCATCATTACTCCACCAGCTCTGACTTCTGGGTCATTTTAACTGCTGCATTCAGTCAAGGCTATAGTTTTAATTCTTGTTAGCAGTGAGAAACAGAAACCAGTATCATATCACTAAAAAATGGTGCAGCAGGAAAAATATACTTTTCTGGAATTAATAAAATATTTTTTTACGGTAATTCAATTAAATTCAACCCATTACCTAATTTTCTTTCTTCAATAAACGTTGTATATCTTTGTTTCTTTTCTTTTATTAAAAGTGATATGACAGTTTAAAAAGAAGCTCCATTACAGAAGAAATTTTTTTTTTATTTCTCTTACCAATGATCATTATTTCTACTGCATAATCTCAGTAACAAGAAAGACGGATAAATGTAACATGTACAGATGTGTGAAGGAGTCCCCAACATGACCATATTCAGCGTTTTGTTCATCATCATAATAAATTCTGAGAAACTCATTTAAGTTTTTGGTTGCAATGTTAGAAAATGTTAAAATGCTTTCTGAGTATTAATGAATTAATGCTCCTGAAGCACAACCCTGCTTTAAACTCTTCTGCTTGTGCATCCCTGTCTGCTTTATTCACTTTGATATTCTCAAATAAACCTTTGAGGCCCTCACAGAGTTTAGGGGAAGTTATCAAATATGTTTTTTCTTAAAACAGTAGATTTATTTGTATCTCTGTTAGTAAGTTGAATTTAAATACTTGCCAGGTTTTTTAGATATTTATTTTTTTTTTTTGGTAAAATCTCTTGAAAATCGCGTTTCCATTTCCTCCAATTTAACCAGCTAAGCTTTTCACACAATAATGTAACAAAAATGCAATAAAGTTTATGGTTGTAACAAATAAGTTTAGAGGTATGAGTAGAAAGCACTATTATTGTTTGTTGGAACTTTGGTGATATGTATACGACCTTCTTTATCTTTTATTATTTGTTGTATATTTTAGGTGAAAAAGTGATTTTAATCAGTGTAACAAAAGCAGCCATTTAGATATTGTTTACCCATATTAAAGAATTCAGATAGATTTCCTCATTGTAATCAGTTTAATTGGCCTCTTCTATAATCAGCACACATACAATAAGGTTTATTTGGAAGCTCTGAGATAAATTGTTTGTTAAAGTAACAAAATCTGGTGCATCGCTTTATTTCATCCTTGCCTCTGTTTTTCAATTTGCAGCAGATGAGAATTTTGACAAAGCCCTCATATTTGATAAGCACTTTGATTTCGGGGGAAATGACTGCTTTGTTATCTTGTTGTTGTGACAAAGGAAAAAAAAACCGAAAGACTCCTATATTTTATTTAGTAAATATCACATTTTCCAGCACACTTAACCAGGCAAGTACGACAGCACCAAGCAAGACTAGAGCAGAAACAAGAAGTGAGCGATAGATGCTGTAACAATCATCATCAGAACAGGAATAACAGTTAATGAAAAAAGGAGGAATTTTTAGCAATTCTAAAACTGGAAGAAATCCAAATGAAAATATGTAATTTTTACTTAAAATAAGTCAGTTTGTTCTCGACTTGAGGAGATGAAAGAGACATTTTGCCAATGGAACAAGACAATTTAGATTAAAATAAGAAAAGATTATTGCATTGTTATATTTCAGGTGCATATTATCGAATTATCTTATTTTAAGAGTAAAAATACTTATTCTATTGGCAAACTGTCTAATTTACGGACTCAAATCAAGGGTAAATGCACTTAATTTAAGACATTTTTACTTATTTCTAAATAATTTTCCAGTGTAGGGTAAGAACCAAATGAAGCTTCTTTGTAAGACGATGCGTTTTGTCACATACTTTGAGTGTGTTTGAAAATGGGAAGAAGGATGTGTAATCTGAATGCTGCCAGGGCCTCAAGATGGGATTTGTTGAATCATAGCTGAGCTTTTTTCGATACATAAAGATAACCTAACCACCTCTAATATCCTGCACACAATCATTATGTTTCCCCTAATTATTCAAACAATCTAGAAATGGATTAGACTCCCCTGTTATATCTCAAGCAACTAGAATGCTGAGGTTAGATTTGTTTCTCCAGACTCGGTGTCTGCTGGGATCATTTTAAAGCTAAATAAAGTAATATGAAAAAAAATCTATTTCGTTTTGTTTTCCCTTTTAAATAAAATAACTTAAATACTTGTGAAAATAAAGCATAAATGCTCCACTTACCAAATCCTGACTTTACCGTCTTTGAGCCCATTTTTTTTGGTTCAAGTTCCTTATCTATATTTGAGAGTAGGTTCAGCAATCTAAAAACACAGCATGTTCTTCCCAGGTCTAAGATATTGTGAAACTGTTAGGAAAATAATCCCATATCAACCTTAAAGTCTAAAACAGGTTAAAATATATTTCCAAGCCTTTTGTTCTTTGGTTTAAGAGGATGGGAGCCATAATTAATAAATGAAGAAAACATTAAACAGTGAACCTTCCCAGGACTGGCGGACAAGCCAAATATACTATGAGCTCATTGACAACTCATAGTTGATCACAAATTAAACTATATCGTCCCCTAAAGCAGCGGTCCCCAACCTTTTTTGCGCCACAGACCAGTTATAAGTCAGACAATGTTTTCACAGACTGGCATTTAAAGTGTAGGTGGTAAATACGATCAAATAAAATAATACGACTGGCATAAAATCCTGCGTCAAGAGGCACAGGTTAATTCAGGTAATTGGGAGAGAATACCCCATTTTTTAAATATTTTTTAAAATAAAACATCACTCAGACTCTGATCGTCGATAAATTATATATATATATTTTCTGTGTGGCCCGGTTCCAAATGACCGGTACCGGTCCATGGCCCAGTGGTTGGGGACCGCTGCCCTAAAGCACTACAAGCTTTGTTGGGTCAGTTAATATCAGAGTTCATGGTTCAACAACAGAGAAAGAATGGCCAAAAATGGTCTTCATTAAAGCAGCTTAAGGCTAAAGTACTTATAAAAAGCCTATTTTTCAAGAACAAATGAAACCCCATCTTAATTAACCACAAGACTTGGAAATCTTTGCCTTAATGAGACAACAGTGGAACAAATTTTCATTCTGTCCCATCCGGTATAAAGTTTCACTATGGTGAGAAATGTTGGGCTGCCTGGATGATTCTGCAGACATGATAAAACCACAAATTCTAAATGAACGTGAAAGTACATCAGTTTGTGGCGTTATGTCGTTAGACAATGATCCAAAGCACACCGGCAAATACACGTCCTAAATGCTGAGAAAATAAAATAAAATAAACTAGTCAGTTTTCAACTTTAAACAACCCAACTCTCCCTTAAAATCCATCACTGCAGCCGATTTAAAATTATTCCTGACAGAAAGGTGGGCTATCATTCCTTTACCAGAATATAAAAGACTGTCTGCTATTGGAAATGCTTCATGCCAGTTCTTGCTGCCAGGCATGATTGATTTCCCTTCTATTAAAATATTTCTTCACAGAAACTCCTGTATTTTCATCATTGCAACCACGGTCTGTTGAACATGTTAGAAGATAACCAAATACCCGGCATTGTTGTCTGGAAGATTTTCCCAGATCATAGAGTTGAATAGTATATTAATGTTCTTTGTTTTGCTGTTTCTCTGCTACTCTTCCGACCTCTTTAGTCTGCCGATGAGATAGAAGCGACGGTAAGCCGTATTTCAACCTTCAAACAGTCCTGCTTGTTGGGCCTTTTCATCTCCACCTGACCCTTCTATTGGTTCACATCGTCCTTTTAAAGATCTAAGGGGCTTAATGAGGAAAAGGGAATCAAACTGATTTCCATAATATGCTGATTGGGGTAATTGTTAATGATTTTAGTTAAAATGAAATTCCCAACAGCTGGGAGTGTAAAACATCTGTAATTTGCAGCTCCTTGCTGCAGAATTCTTTTAATGACAGATCAGATCAAATTGAAAGCAAATTAAGCCCCTCTTTGCTTCTTTTTTTTTTCCATTTTTTTTTCTTTCATCTTTTCAATCATTTCATAGTCATTGTGTTTGACCTTGCTTCATTTTAATGTATTTTTGCAGCATCTCTACAATTCACATGCTTAAGATTTAACGACCCATCTTCATGATGAAACCATTGAACATGCATGTTAAGGTGTTTATCAGGGTCCTGTCTCCGTCCTGCATGCGCTTCCTTTTATGGATCTATGTGTTTCTCTTCAGTGCAACAGGGTAATTCTACTGCGCCTCCACCAACAAAGGCACATGAAATAGACGGGTAGAGGTGCTCTGACAAATAGAGATGGAGGGGAAAAGCAAACATTTGATTTGAAGGTTACAGCGTTTCTCTCTTTGTAGTGCCTGCACTTTCCAGCGTGCTGCAGAATCCAGCATCTGAGAATGCAATGACCGTGTATCATCATCCCTTGAAGACTCAAATTAAACGGAATACTGGATGGAAATTAAATTCTGGCATTTAAAGTAAATAACCGGATTTGGTCACTTTGATGCAATATTTTCAAACCAGGGGCGAGATGGAAGCAGACAAAATGAACTCTTTTAATCCAGTGGTAATCCTCTGGTATACATAAAGATCTACCATGCTGCAGACCATATTGGTATTTAAATCACATAATTTCATGTTTAAGGCTCAGCTATGAATGTTGCAAGCATTTTCCTCTCATATCTAACACCATGCAATGACTTAATGTTGAAACTGCTGGAAAGATAAAAATCTTTAAAAAAAACTATGGTTTATGAAATTAATTCTACATCAGTGTTTTCCTTAAAGTATGTTGATTTCTTATCAACACTTTTTATTTGTCTGGATTTCTTACCTCTCATCCAATACCTTCTATCTCCTAGCTTTATTCTCTTTAATATTGCTGGGAAAAACCCCCCGAATATATTGAATTTTTTCCTTAATAATCAGTATACTGTACTTTTTACTTAGAATATTCCACTTTGCTGCCAAGTTATATGTAGTTCAAGGGCTCCATCGTCTTGGAGTAGCTTGACGTACAAACCGCTGCTTCATTGCAATGAATGGAGTCCAATGAGGTGGTTCGGGAATCTGAACAGAATTCCTCCTGGTTAAAACGGTTTGAAGGTTTTTCAGCCATGTGATCGAAGAGAGTAGTAGATCCAAAAGTCCTGTAAATGCATCTGGCCTGGAAACACCTTAGGATCCCCAACGATCAGCCAAAGAATGTTACTTAAAAGATATGCAGATATGCAGTTATACAGATTACATTCAAATTCGGCTCCGCGTAACGTGCAAAACTGATCCCATCTTCACATTTTAACAATGTTTTGTCCACTGACAGTTTGAACTGACCAGTTTTTCGATTGACTCCTTCTATCCAAGTTTACGGTACTAATCAGTAAAGTATATGTTTTACTGGAGTAGTGCAGTCTCACATTTAATGATTTGAAGAGGGCAGCGTTTAATATGTGTGCCTTATTGGGAAGATAAACCCCAAATAAGAGATAAGAGAGTTTGTGCCAACCTGTAAAGTGTTGTATTGCAACAAAATAGACTATGTAAGCCACACAGAGAAAGGATGTAACTACCGTAAAAACTACAAAACTACAGGCAGAATAAGTACAGCCCACCCATACATTAGAAAAATGAAAGCTACACTTGTGTGTTTTAGGTCTCATTAAGAACCTTCTTGTTCCGTAATGCAGAGTCCTTCACGTACCAGTATAAAATTACCTCTATGGGTAGAAAAAAAACACATATTATTTAATAGGTTTGTGTACGGGTTTAAATGAACAGAATGCTGGTATCATAGTTACAGCATGAATGAAACATATTTATTTTTTCTTATTTATTAAACTCTACATCTTAAAAAATAAATTGACTCAAGAATATCCAAATAACAATACTTTTTTTAAGCATCGGCCAGTTTACAGCTGTTAATCTGTGAGCACAGCGTGCACTAGATGTGAGTATGAGGCAATTTTCTTTACTGCCTTACACATGACTTTGTGCACACTTTGTGATCATGCTTTGGGTCGCACTATTATTTAAAAACCTGTGCTCTCCTGGCTGGGTTATAAGTGGGTATAAATGCTGGTAACGGGTTGGGTCTCGGTTCCTAAATCTACGGGTTCGTGTGGATGTAGTTTTGAAAAATCAGACCAGTGCAGAACTCTGCCATGATGTACCTTGGAAAACTTACAGCTCTACAGTCCGTCAGCAAACTATGAATTCTCCCTGAGGTAGAAGACAGCCTTTTGAGAATCCGGAGGAATCCTAAGCTGCTGGGGCCTCTTTAGAATTGCTGTGGTGTTGGAGCCCTACAGGAAGTCTGCATCCTTGCACACCCAAGAGCCTAAACCTGCTTATCTTTTTCCACACAGTACCCAATAATAGCTGTAATTTACCTCTACCTCTTGATGCGAAAAATACTCTCTTTAGTCCTAGAGATGTCAGTGCCCAAGTAGCTTTTGGCACATGACCCCACCAGCCTCTATACAGCCGTTCCATATTGAGAAGAACAAAAAAGGAGTTGAAAACAATCTCCAAATCTCATTGTTGGAGAACTGCATGCTTGGTGCCAATTCTGATACGATTGAACAACCACTGCATGCTTTCTGCATACAAACCACTAATTGTAAAGTGGTGGTAGAAAAATGTCTCTTATCATGTGACCTAAACTGGTGCTTAGATAAGATGAGACATTTGCTGACATGCTGAAAGGTTTTAAACCAAAAGCTCCCAATGAGTTTGGTTTAAAATAGAGGATTCATGTGTCAAATCCAAACTTTTGGTCCAAGATGTGGTTGGCCTTCTGTTCTTCAAAAGGCTCTGAGAACCGTGTCATAGTGCATGGAATCAGACACTTTGGTTCCTGGGTGTTTCAACTGATAAAAGATGGAAAATATGTGACCAATAAACTTACTGAAACAGGTGAATGAGTTCTGAGTTATCTTCTACTGGTGTTCTTTGTTTCCAGCCAGAATGTGTGAATCTTAAATCCCTTTATGGAGGTCTTTCTCCGTTGAAAACACTGAAAATATTCAATCAAATCAATCAATCAATTTTTTTATTGTCAACAACAGTTTGCATTGTAATTGATATTTCAGTTTCAGTACAAACTGTGGGGGGCTGGCAAGGAGAACGATTTACTGAGGCCAAGCGTGCCCCCGAACACTGCCGTTGGAGCATTTTTACGGCTGCCAAGGGCCCCACCATGAGGCGGTTCCCTTATACCCTTATAGCGCTGTCTTTATCTCTATGGAAAGATAGGAGCCACATTGGGGGGGGGAAGCATATTTAATACTTTATCCACGGGATAAAACATTTCAGCAGAAGGAAAACATTGGAGACTGGAGCCACATGAAAGTCAATCCAACATTTCTGAGCATCAGTTGTGTATGAATGATGAATGCGTTCAATTTGTCCATGAATGCTGTCTCCACATGCCATTGTCCATAATAAGATGGAAGTTTACCAATCTGTGCTGGAGTTCTGGACGCATCCACAGATGTTCGTGGGTAGGGTAGATGGGGGGAGACGGCAGTTCTGGGCCTTTCCGCTATAACATCCAGGGGAGGTTTGATAAGGGGGAGGCGGAATCCAAAATAACGCTTTGTTTTGAGAGCAGGCTACACAGCAATTTTCTATTAGCCTTCAGGTCTTTTCTTGCTGGCTCCACATGGCGAATCCAATATTCTGAATTTGTTGGGTTTTTCCACCTTGAAGTTAGCACGCACATCCAATATATCTCACCTTTGAGATGAACCACCACAGCCAGCCTGCATTCAATCGCACCCAGCGTACGGCTCAGCTCGCGGTCCTGCTCGCCTTGGTGAGAACGTCAACCGCTGCCGGCACCCTGATCAATGCCCAAATTCCCGCCGACATCCTCTGTAATTGTAGATACATCCGGTATCCGCCAAATCCAAACAGGAGAAATCCGAGTATCTTAAATCCGAAAATCCATGCATCGTTGACATCCTCGACCGACAACGTTGTAAAACACACCATCCTCCAAGTCTTCCAGGAGTCTAGGGTGTATCCCGCAAAGTACGTACCGGCAGGACAGGAAGGGTGCCTTTTTCTCAGTCTTCCAGTTGATAAAATTTGATCAAATTCATTGAGAGACCAGCTGACCAGATCCATTGTTTGAATTCGGGTGAGATGAAGAGAGGGGTCAGAAAAAACAAAACACAGCAATGCAGGGAAAGTGCAGGGAGTTGCAGAGCAGCAGGAAAATGCAGCCGCCTGTTTCAAGAGTCAGAACAGAAAGAAATAATCTAGAGATAAAGAATACAAACCTGAAATCAGTTTGGTTTAACATGTGTATATAAAACTGCTTGAAAATGTGTTTTATTTGTAATGAAAAAAGGTTAACCTCATGACCTTTTAAAATACCTTTTCAAGTAACCGCCCTGTCTTTGTGTGTCTGCTTGCAGGCGCAGCAGCTCCAGAAGAAAGACTCGCAGCTGAAAGCACTGGAAGCCTTCTACAGGGAGCAGCTGGCTCAGCTGGAGCAGAGGGTACAACATTCATGCTACTCCCCATGCTTACACATGTTCACAGACCTGCAAAAACCCACCTCATTCATAGCTTTCATAGACCCGCTGTGCTGAGGAGCAGAATACCGAGGCTCACACTCGTCCTAGGAAATCTGGACGAGAGGAGCTGTTTCACACATGCAAATTCAAACACATTTGTGATCAAATATAGTCACACAAACTCTGGGTCAGGTAGACTTTTACTGATCATTTCAAAGCTAAAATAAACAGGCATGTATAATAGTTTTAAAATGTTTGTATAAATTTTCTCTGCAACATCTATGACGAAACAAATGTTTGCTTGTTGCAACCTCCCTGGGTTTAACCTATTAACCACACAAGCAATGATATCTGTACTGTAAGGAAACTAAAGACATACAATAGATTGTCTAAAACCCCATTTTTAAATTGGCAAAACTATGTAAAGTAAATGTAACAAGCTTGTTTATCATATTAGGTTTGCAACTAAACATTGCACAAATGAAAGGACTCCCTTAGGCCTCTCCAGTGTGATTCAACAGGCGGCAAAGATTGAAGCCAGTCGGAGTATCTCCGGAGAGCCTTTACAAGACCTTCCTTTTCCTTTCATCTTCCATTTGACATTTGCCGGGTAGAAAAGGTTCGGTTTCAAGTCAAGTCTCAGTCTCACCAGGCGCCATGCAGAGAACCTTTACAAGATGCTCTCTGGGGGAAGCTGTCTTCCATTTCTCAAATAGAGAAGACCTTTAAAGGACATTATGTGAAAAAAAACTAAGTATTGTGTTCTGTTTACTATGGTTAATTCAAGCCTCTCCTGCACAAATGGGAAGCGAGGGGGTGGATGGAACAGTATGGTGCAGCATTGGAGTGTCCTCACTGTAGGATCCATGCTCCAGTCAGCTAGCAGCTAGCATTCAGTAGAATAATTGATTCCTCTTTTCCAGTCCAGCTCTTTAATTTTAGCATCTTAGCTAACTTAGCCAACTCCCTCTTTTTGTCTTATTTTATATCCTGAGGAGCTGTTCTCCTTTTCCCTTAATAGTCCAAGTCTTGATGTTCTACCGGTGACTATTTGTGTTCCTGTCATTAGTAACAGGTTGGGTTTGGAGAGAGTCGATGGCTGGCAGGCTGGCATACGGGTGGCACAAGCTGTGTTTGCTATCGAGCTTAGGATGTTTGCAGACAGACCTCTGTGTGTGATTGCATGTGTGTATGTGTTAAGATAGAGTGAGATATTGTTTGCATGAACACTGTGTACTCAGGTGCACATGTACAGTATAGGCAGATTCATGTATCAGTGTGAGAGCTCAGTTTGTTTGCAGAATGCCATCAGTCCTGGGTTTTGTTCCTACCAGTACTGGGAACCTCACTGTAAAGGCATTCTCACTTTAGTGAAAATGTTTGAGCTGGTTATTAAAGACGTAGAATTTGATAACGCCACCAAAGATCGCTTTTACTATTTACCCTTCTTTAATAGGTTTAAGCAAGGGCGTAAGTTTGTACTGAAAGTTGGTGGGGACACTCTAAGAGTGGGGGCTGATGGACCTACAGTTACTCAACCCGAACGCTTTCAGTAGGATTTTGTATTTTCCTATTGTTGAGAACACAAGAGAGCCATAATACACTGATATGTATAGATAGAGAGATGCATTTTAGTGCAATATATATATATATATATATATATATATATATATATAGGGGTGGAACGATTCACAAAATCCACGGTTCGGTTCGGTTCACGGTTTCGTGGTCACAGTTTTCGGTTCGGTTCGGTATATGTTTATTGTTACACCGAAGAAAAATTAATAAAAATTAATGAAAAAATAAAAATGTATGAAATTAATGAAAAAAATCCCCAAAAATTTATGAATTGTAATTATTTTTAATGATCCGCAGAAACCCTGGTTCATTTCCACGTTTTGCTGCTTTGAATTTAATCATCTCGCGCATGCTCTCTACCATCTCCAAGGAACTCAGAGCGGAGCGGACGGGAGCCATAATGGAGGCTGTAGGCTTTGCTTTGTGCAGGCGGTCTGGAGCGCAGCGGGGTGAAGCGGAGCGCTGAGTATGCGGGATTTCGGGGTTAGCATGACATGTTGGTCATGTTGCTGTTAGCATAAACAAAACNACTCTAAATGCAAAGCGGTCCCATACAGCAGACCTATAAAGTGCTGCTGGCGCGTCTTCCAACTCCTGTTCTTTCCCACTCGCCATACCAACACAATTCTCCACAAAAACTGATTTTTTTCTGCTACACCCGGCTACGCTGCTTCGCTTCTTCTTCTTCTTGTTTACTGCTGGTGGTTGGCTTTGGTCGCAGTACCGCCACCTTCTGCTCTGGAGTGTACACGCTTCGCCTATGAGAAAAAAGAGCAGCGCATGAACCAAACGCAACACACGCGAATCGAACTGAGACAGTCGAACCGAACGGTTCGGGCGGTTTTCATAAACCGTTCCATCCCTCGTATGTATGATGAATGTGTTCAATTTGTCTACGAATGCTGTCTCCACATGCCATTGTCCTTAATAAGACGGAAGTTTACCAATCGGTGCTGCAGTTCTGGACGCATCCACAGATGTTCGCGGGTAGGGTAGATTGGGGGAGACGGCAGTTCTGGGCCTTTCAGCTATAACATCCTGGGTGGCCGAATCTAAAATAACACTTTATGTTTTGAGAGCAGGCTACACAGGAATTTTCTATTAGCCTTCGAGTCTTTTCTTGCTGGTTCCACATGGCGAATCCAGTATTCTGAATTTGTTGGGTTTTTCCGCCTTGAAGTTAGCACGCACATCCAAGATATTATCCCGTCTCACCTTTGAAATGAACCACCGCAGCCAGCCTGCATTCAATGGCACCTAGCATACGGCTCAGCTGGCGGTCCTGCTCGTTCAGAGCCTTTGTGAGAACGTCAACCGCTGCCGGCACCCTGATCAATGCCCAAATTCCCGCCGACATCCTCTGTAATTGTAGATTCATCCGGTGTCCGCCAAATCCAAACAGGAGAAATCCGAGTATCGTAAATCCGAAAATCCATGCATCGTTGACATCCTCGACCGACAACGTTGTAAAACACACCATCCTCCAAGCCTTCCAGGAGTCCAGGGTGTATCCCACAAAGTATGTCCCGGCAGGACAGGAAGGGTTCCTTTTTCCCTGTCTTCCAGTTGATCAAATTTGATAAAATTCATTGAGATACCAGCTGACCAGATCCATTGTTTGAATTTGGGTGATATGAAGAGAGGGGTCAGAAAAAACAAAACACAGCAAAGCAGGGAAAGTGCAGGGAGTTGCAGAGCAGCAGGAAAATGCAACCGCCTCCTTCAAGAGTCAGAACAGAAAGAAATAATCTAGAGATAAAGAATACAAACCTGAAATCAGTTTGGTTTAACATGTGTATATAAAACTGCTTGAAAATGTGTTTTATTTGTAATGAAAAAAGGTTAACCTCATGACCTTTTAAAATACCTTTTCAAGTAACCGCCCTGTCTTTGTGTGTCTGCTTGCAGGCGCAGCAGCTCCAGAAGAAAGACTCGCAGCTGAAAGCACTGGAAGCCTTCTACAGGGAGCAGCTGGCTCAGCTGGAGCAGAGGGTACAACATTCATGCTACTCCCCATGCTTACACATGTTCACAGACCTGCAAAAACCCACCTCATTCATAGCTTTCATAGACCCGCTGTGCTGAGGAGCAGAATACCGAGGCTCACACTCGTCCTAGGAAATCTGGACGAGAGGAGCTGTTTCACACATGCAAATTCAAACACATTTGTGATCAAATATAGTCACACAAACTCTGGGTCAGGTAGACTTTTACTGATCATTTCAAAGCTAAAATAAACAGGCATGTATAATAGTTTTAAAATGTTTGTATAAATTTTCTCTGCAACATCTATGACGAAACAAATGTTTGCTTGTTGCAACCTCCCTGGGTTTAACCTATTAACCACACAAGCAATGATATCTGTACTGTAAGGAAACTAAAGACATACAATAGATTGTCTAAAACCCCATTTTTAAATTGGCAAAACTATGTAAAGTAAATGTAACAAGCTTGTTTATCATATTAGGTTTGCAACTAAACATTGCACAAATGAAAGGACTCCCTTAGGCCTCTCCAGTGTGATTCAACAGGCGGCAAAGATTGAAGCCAGTCGGAGTATCTCCGGAGAGCCTTTACAAGACCTTCCTTTTCCTTTCATCTTCCATTTGACATTTGCCGGGTAGAAAAGGTTCGGTTTCAAGTCAAGTCTCAGTCTCACCAGGCGCCATGCAGAGAACCTTTACAAGATGCTCTCTGGGGGAAGCTGTCTTCCATTTCTCAAATAGAGAAGACCTTTAAAGGACATTATGTGAAAAAAAACTAAGTATTGTGTTCTGTTTACTATGGTTAATTCAAGCCTCTCCTGCACAAATGGGAAGCGAGGGGGTGGATGGAACAGTATGGTGCAGCATTGGAGTGTCCTCACTGTAGGATCCATGCTCCAGTCAGCTAGCAGCTAGCATTCAGTAGAATAATTGATTCCTCTTTTCCAGTCCAGCTCTTTAATTTTAGCATCTTAGCTAACTTAGCCAACTCCCTCTTTTTGTCTTATTTTATATCCTGAGGAGCTGTTCTCCTTTTCCCTTAATAGTCCAAGTCTTGATGTTCTACCGGTGACTATTTGTGTTCCTGTCATTAGTAACAGGTTGGGTTTGGAGAGAGTCGATGGCTGGCAGGCTGGCATACGGGTGGCACAAGCTGTGTTTGCTATCGAGCTTAGGATGTTTGCAGACAGACCTCTGTGTGTGATTGCATGTGTGTATGTGTTAAGATAGAGTGAGATATTGTTTGCATGAACACTGTGTACTCAGGTGCACATGTACAGTATAGGCAGATTCATGTATCAGTGTGAGAGCTCAGTTTGTTTGCAGAATGCCATCAGTCCTGGGTTTTGTTCCTACCAGTACTGGGAACCTCACTGTAAAGGCATTCTCACTTTAGTGAAAATGTTTGAGCTGGTTATT